TGCAGACAATTCTGTGTGTACCTGCCACTTCTGTTCCTTGTGAAAGACTGTTTAGTTCGTCAGGGTACATTGTCAACAAACTGCGATCTTGTCTACTTCCAGAAAACGTTAACGTCCTCGTTTGTTCACGTGACTGGCTAAAGTGATGCCTACTTGTACTTGTCAATTAAACTGAATACAGTATAGCAGGCATTAAGTGTCTTGTTTGTTAACGTTTGTGAATACTGTAGTTAGTTAACGTTTACCGATAACAACTTCACCTCACTAGTGGTAAAAAGCAGGTTATTCTGTCGACTTCAGAATTAATAGAAATTAACCGATTAAAATTTTAGACGATTAATTGAACACAAAAAAAAAATTATCAGTACCAACCCTAATATATATATATATATATATATATATATATATATATATATATATATATATATATATATATATATATATATATATATATATATATATATATATATATATATATATACATATATATATATATATATTCTTGCATGGTAGTGACAAAGTTTTTCCCATAAACTGTTGTTTTAAATAAGCCTGACCAGAAAATGTTAAAAAACTTCAAAAAATTTTTTTGTTTTTTACAATGACAGACTGCCTGCCCGAACCAAACCCTCAGTCGATGTAGCAGCACTCTCTTGCGAGTCAGGCTATTTGTCAGTCGATGAAGCAACACTCCCTTGCAAGTCAGGCTATTTGTCAGTCGGTGTAGCAGCACTCCCTTGCGAGATAGGCTATTTGTCAGTTGATGTAGCGGTACTCCATTGCAAGTCAGGCTATAAGATAGTTGATGTAGCAACACTCCCTTGTAGCAGCAGGCTATAAAATAGTCGATGTAGCAACACTTACGCATGTTTTAAAAATGTTTTTTAATAAAACAAAAACAAAAAAACAACTCTAATTAAAAAAACTTTCTAGTCATTATTTATATATATATATTGCGGTTTTTTTAAAAAACAATAAAATTTGATGTACTTCTGCATTAATTTAGTTGCTTTGACATTTCGACGACAATAAAATGCAGCTTAAGAGACAAGGTAAAAATATTGTATTCGAAAGAGACTTTTTTTTTACCATAAAAGTCTCTTTCGACTACACTATAAGGATATATTTATATATAAATATATATATATATATATATATATATATATATACATATATACATAGAAATATATATATGTATATTTACAAATGTATATTTCTATATATATGTAAATATACATATATATATATATATATATATATATATATATATATATATATATATATATATATATATATATATATATATATAATATATATATATATAAATATATATGTATATATATATATATATATATGTATATATATATGTATATATATATGTATATATATATATATATATATATATATATATATATATATATACATAGAAATATATATATGTATATTTACAAATGTACATTTCTATATATATGTAAACATACATACATATATATATATACATATATATATATATATATATATATATATATATATATATATATATATATATATATATATATATATATATATATATATATATATATATAGAGAGAGAGAGAGAGAGATATATACATATGTATATATATTTATATGTATATATATGTATATATATTTGTAATATATATATATATATATATATATATATATATATATATATATATATATATATATATATATATATATATATATATATATGTATGTATATATGTGTGTGTGTATATAAAATATGTAAAATTCAATAAAAACAGCTGCGTATAAACTTTTTAAAAAATATATATTTGTTTTATTTTAATATATTTTTTCAATATATTTCGCTGATCTATTGTGATCAGCGTCATCAGGTGTAATAAATAAAAATCGTTACAAAGAAATTGTTGTAATAAAAACTAACCATTAAAAAGATAACATTAAAAAGAGCATAACAAAATACAAAAAAGCTTTAAATTTTGACGTCAAATAATCTAACAAAAAATGGCCCCCAAGTTTTTGTTGTCACGTAATCACCATCACCCCTATTTAAAACTTTTTCATCACTTCTTAGTTTTTGTCGAACTTTAGCTCTGTTTACTTCGAGTGACTCTCGAATTTTCCGAACATGATACTCTGGAGCGATTGATATGGTTTTGGGATGTAACCAATCAAATGTACCCTGGCATGATTTGGAATGTTCAGTAGCACCTAAACTGGCCCATTTTCCTTTAACACTATTTTTCTGGTGTTCAATACATCTCGATATAACTTTCTTCTTAGTTTCTCCAATGTATATAGAAGTGCATGAACATTTTAGTTATAATAAATATAATAAAATAAAATATAATAAAGCTACTATTTGTACATGTGAACCAAAAACTTTTGTGAGATATGTAGACGACTGTCACGCTCGCTTTAACTCAATAAAACAACAACAAATGTTTCTAAATATCCTAAACGAACAAAACCCTGCCATAAAATACACTGTTGAACTCGAAAACCACCATAAACAACTTAACTTTCTAGATGTTAATATTACAAACACAATGCATGGAGCTTATGAATTTCAAATACATCGAAAAGAAGCAATAACTAATATTCAACTAAAACCTAACTCAAACATCACTAGCGTATTTAAAGGGTTTTTATGTCGTGCAAAGAGATTATGCTCTCAAAAATATCTCAAATAAGAAATTGTTTTTCTAATAGAAATGTTTGTTGAAAACGGGCACAACAAGAACAATCTAATTAATATCGCCAGAAACTTTCTAAAAAAAGAATTAAAAAATACCAATTATAAACCAACTGACAACCAACCATTTATAAAACTACCATAGATACCAGTCGTTGGTCCCAAACTTAGAAAGGAACTTAGAAAACAAAACATAAAAGTTATATTTACATCTGCTCCAAATTTAAACAATATTTTATGCAACAATAAGACAAAACTTCCTCCAAATACAAACCCAGGGGTCTACCAACTAAAATGTTCATGCACTTCTATATACATTGGAGAAACTAAGAAGAAAGTTATATCGAGATGTATTGAACACCAGAAAAATAGTGTTAAAGGAAAATGGGCCAGTTCAGGTGCTACCGAACATTCCAAATCATGCCAGGGTACATTTGATTGGTTACATCCCAAAACCATATCAATCGCTCCAGAGTATCATGTTCGGAAAATTCGAGAGTCACTCGAAGTAAACAGAGCTAAAGTTCGACAAAAACTTGGAAGTGATGAAAAAGTTTTAAATAGGGATGATGGTGATAACGTGACAACAAAAACTTGGGCGCCATTTTTTGTTAGATTATTTGACGTCAACATTTAAAGCTATTTTGTATTTTGTTATGCTCTTTTTAATGTTATCTTTTTAATGGTTAGTTTTTATTACAACAATTTCTTTGTAACGATTTTTATTTATTACACCTGATGACGCTGATCACAATAGATCAGCAAAATATATTGAAAAAATATATAAAGATAAAACAAATATATATTTTTTAAAAAGTTTATACGCAGCCGTTTTTATTGAATTTTACATATTTTATTATTATCGTATAACAAGAAAATGACTTTTAAAGATTATATGTGTATATATATATGTATATATATATATATATATATATATATATATATATATATATATATACTCTTGCATGTCTCTTGCATGGCATCAAAAAAAGTTTCCCATAAACTGTAGTTTTAAAGAGCGCGTTAATAAACCAGACCAGAAAAAGTTTTAAAAATGAAATTTTTTTTTTTAATTGATAGACTGCCTGGCCAAACCAAACCCTCAGTCGATGTAGCAGCACTCTCTTGCGAGTCAGGCTATTTGTCAGTCGATGTAGCAGCACTCCGTTGCGAGTCAGGCTATTTGTCAGTCGATGTAGCAGCACTCCGTTGCGAGTCAGGCTATTTGTCAGTCGATGTAGCAAGCACTCCCGTTGCAAGTCAGGCTATAAGATAGTCGATGTAGCAACATTTACGCATGTTTTAAAAATGTTTTTTATTAAATCAATAACAAAAACACCACTAATTAAAAAAAAACTTTCTAGTCGTTATAATTGCGGTTTTTTGAAAATTTTTTAAAAAACAATTAAATTTAATGTACTTCCGCATAAATTAACTGCTTTGACATTTCGATGACAATCAAAAACAGCTTAAGAGACGAGGTAATTAAAATTGTAGTCGAAAGAGACTTTTTTTACATTAAACAACTCTTTCGACTACACTATAAGGATATATGTATATATATAATATATATATATATATATATATATATATATATATATATATATATATATATATATATATGTATACATATTAGTGCTTGCATATATCTTTGTGAGAGTGCTCTATGAATTAAAGTAAATTAAAATGATTTAAATTAAAACAGAGCTGTATTTACATATATTTTTTATAAATAAAACTACATAATTTTCACTACTATAAGTTTCATGCTAAATGTAATCATCAGGCCTGATGATTGCATTTAGCTTGAAACTTATAGTAGTGAAAAATATGTAGTTTTATTTATAAAAAAAATGTGTATATATATAATATATATATATATATATATAATATATATATATATATATATATATTATATATATATATTTAAATATATATATATTTAAATATATATATATTTATATATGTGTGTGAGTGTTTGCATGTGCGTGTGTGTGTGTGTGTGCAGGGCCGTCTTTCTTGGGGGGTGGGGAATTATTATTATAAAAAAAAAAAGTCCTCATCATTTGCAATTTGCCAACTATAATTAAAAACTCGGTCAATATGCCAACTCAAATGTTTAAATGACAGCTATGGGGTAGGTGGGATATCTCCAACACCTCCCCCCTCTTCTGGACGGTGCTGCATGTGTGTAAATAAATACAGCTTACAATTCTTAAAATATTGCATACAGTGGTCTAAATGTTTTAAACACTACAACTAATCAGAAATATTTAAAAGGAATCATTTAAAATATTACTATTAGCATCCTGGACCAAAGGTTTTCCAACAAGGAAATTTCGTTTAGAATTAGTCAACTGTTGTTTTTCTGCCTTGTATAAATATGCTGGGACTGTAGGAAGTTCTGAAAACACAAATAAAATAATAATAATAATATTTTTATAAAGCCATTTCTTAAAATGATTTAAAAAATTCTATAACTATAGCAAAAACTATGCAGCTCTTTCTCATTCTCTCTCTCTTTATATATATATATATATATATATATATATATATATATATATATATATATATATATATATATATATATATATATATATATATATGTATATATATATGCATATATATATAAATATATATATATATTATATATAAATATATAACAATTATATATATATATATATATATATATATATATATATATATATATATATATATATATATATATATATATATATATATATATATAAATAAATATATATATATATATTTATATATATAAATTTATATATATATATTAATATATATGCATATATATATACATTATATATATGTATATATATGCATATACATATTTATATATATTTATATATATATGCATATATATATATATATATATATATATATATATGCATATATATATATATATATATATATTATATATATATATGTATATAGGGGAGAGCAGGTAGGATTCGTACACTTTTTACTCTAAGTCATTTTAAAGCAAAACCAATAGCGATTTTAATAAACTTTCAATGCTGGTGAATTATCTAGATATCTGGCTTCAATAATTTTTTAGGTCGGTATTGGTACAAAGTAAAATGGCAAAGCTATAACGATTCTCCCAGAAAATGGAAATCGTACGAAAGCACCCCACGCGCGGGGTAGCTTCGTACATAGAGTAGGGTACATTCGTACATAACTATTTATAGGAAAACGAACATTTATAACGATTAAAATTGAAACAGAATAAACTTTTAACTTATCAATAATCAACAATATATTTTTTTACAAATATCGTTTTACATAACGGATCTATTATTGCACATTTAGCATTGTAAAATTTTTTTTAAATATGAATATATTGGCTGTTCTTGCTGTAGAAGCACATTTGGGTGGCGGCGATACACATACCACGCAGGGGCGGACTGGCCAAATTATTATGATGTGGAAAAATATTTTTAACGGCCCTGTAGGCCAACGAAAAATGAGGAAAAGCAGCAAAGATAACAGACGTAAATTACAAAGTTATGCTTAATTTATAAATATATACATTAATGAATAAATATCGAACAGAAAAAATTTATTAGAATACATATACGTAAAAACAAAGTACTTAACAACGGCCCATGTGGAATAGTCCACATCTTCCACATGGCCAGTCCGCCCCTGATACCACGTCTGATAAGTAAACCGTCCCTTCGTCTTTGTTATTAGGAAAAACAAATTTCCAAGTACCCGGCTTCTT